CCGGTGGGAATGTAAAATGGACCAGCTGCTATGAAAACCAGCGTTTCCTCAAAAAGTTAAAAACAGAATTACCATATGATCCAGCAATTCCAATTCAAAGTGGGTATTTGTACACCAATGTTCACTGTCGTGTCATTCCTAATAGCCAAAAGGTGGAACAACTCAAATGTCCATCAAAAACAAATGGATAAACAAAATGTGGTATATACATACAGTGGAATATTATTTAGCTATAAAAAGGAATGCTATTCTGATACATGCTAGAATGTAGACGGACCTTGAAAGCATTATGCTAAGTGAAATAAGCCAGACACGAATGGACAAATATTATGACTCCATTTTATGAGGTACCCAAAATTAACTACTTCACTGAGATAAATGGAGGGAGGGGGAATGGGAAGCTATTGTTTAATTGTTACAGTTTCTGAGTATTGTGTAAGACTGATGAATTACAATTGCCTTTTTAAATATAAAACTTTTGGTTTGGGGGCACCTGGGTGGCTCAGTCATTAAGCGTCTGCCTTTGGCTCAGGTCATGGTCCCAGGACCCTGGGATCGAGCCCCGCATTGGGCTCCCTGCTCAGTGGGGAGCCTGCTTCTCCCTCTCCCTCTGCCTATTGCTCTGCCTACTTGTGCTCTGTCAAATAAATAAATGAAATCTTAAAAAAAAAAAAACAAAAAAACTTTTGGTTTGGGCTTCATATCTTTCCAGTCTGCAGGGAAAACACTTTTATTATACAAGTAATAAATATCCACAGCAGGAAAATTAGAAAAATAAAAGAAAAAAATTTTAAATAAAATTAATTTTCTCAAAAATAATTTTTAAACAGTATGGTTTACTTGACTTATAGTTTTGTGATGTGTCTTTCAATCATCAGTTCTCACTCAACAATTTATCATGGATACTTCCACATGATAAAGTTATATCTGCATCTCATTCTTTTAAAAAAACTTTTTTTTATTAAATTGAATGGGAGATAAAGTAGGATAAATGGAGGCAGGTTATAAATAGGTATATACATCAAGAGTTCATTCAGTTAATATTTATTGAATGCTTATTGTGTGCCAGGCCCTCTTCTAGGCTCTGAGGATATATCCACGAACAAACCAGATAAAAATTTCTCCCCTTGTGGAGTTCACACGAGATCTATCTCATTTTTTCTTTTTTCTTTTTTTTTAAAGATTTTATTTATTTGACAGAGAGAGACACAGCGAGAGAGGGAACACAAGCAGGGGGAGCGAGAGAGGGAGAAGCAGGCCTCCTGCTGAGCAGGGAGCCTGACGTGGGGCTCAATCCCAGGACCCCAGGATCATGACCCGAGCAGAAGGCAGACGCCCAACGACTGAGCCACCCAGGCGCCCCTATCTCATTCTTAATAAAGAGCAGATACTCATGCCTAGTCATGACTCATTTTTTAAACAGCTTTATTGAAATATAATTCACGTATCACACAATTTACCCATTCAAAATTTACAATTCAATGGTTTTTAGCATATTCACACATATATGTAACCAGCACAATTTTAGAATATTTCCATTACTCAAAAAGAAACTCTGTACCCCTTAGCTATAATTCCCTATATCCTGATCTTCCACTCCAGTCCAGTCCACTAATCTGCTTCCTGTCTCTACAGGGTTCCCTATTTTGGACATTCATATGAACAGACTCATATATGTGGCCTTATCTGACTTACTTCACTTAGCATAATGTTTTCAAGTTTCATCTACGATGTAGCATGTGTCAGTATGTTATTCTTTTTTACTGCTGAAAAATATTCCATTCTGTGTATATGTCACATTTGTTTATCCATTCGTTTGTTGATGGATATTTGGGATGTTTCCACCTTTTGGCTGTTATTAATAATGCTGCCACGAACATTCTTGTAGAAGTGTTGTTTTTTTTGTTTGGTTTGGTTTTTTTAGAGAGGATGGGGGGGAGGGGCAGAGGGAGAGGGTGAAGAGAATCTTAAGCAGGTTCCACACCGAGCATGGAACCTGATGCGAGGCTCAGTCTTACAAGCCTGAGATCATGACCTGAGCCGAAATCAAGAGTTAGACAACTGACTGAGCCACCCAGGAACCCCTCTTTTACAAGTTTTGTGTGGAGATGTGTTTCCATTTCTCATGGGTATGTATATATATATATGTATATATATATATATATATACACCTAGGAGTGAAACTGCTACATCACATGGTAACTCTATATTTCATCATTTGAGGAAAGAGGGTGTATCATTTTAGATCTCCACTATTAGTGTATGAGGATTCCGATCTTCTCACATCCTCAACAACTATTATTATTTGACTTTTTGGCTGGAACCATTCTAGTCGTATGAAATTGTATCTCACTGTGATTTTGATTTGCATTTCTCTGATGATTAACAACATCAAGCATAGTTCATGTTCCTATTGGCCATTTGCATATCTTCTTTGAAGGAATGTATATTCACATCCTTTGGCTATTAATTGCATTATTTGGCTTTTTATTATTGAGTTTTGAGGTCCTTATATATTCTAGATACAAGTGCTGTATAGATAGGGGTGCCCGGGTGGCTCAGTTGGTTAAGTGTCCAACCCCATCTCAGCTCAGGTCTTGATCTCAGGGTCATGAGTTCAAACCCCATGCTGGGCTCCATGCTGGGTGTAGAACCTACTTAAAAACAAAAAACAAGTACTATATAGATAGATGATTTGAAATATTTTCTCCCATTCTACAAGTTGCCTTTTCATTTTCTTTCTTTCTTTCTTTCTTCTTTTTCTTTTTCTTTTTTTTTAATTTTTACTTTATTTCACAGAGAGAGAGAGAGTGTAAGCAGGGGAATGGGCAGAGGGAGAAGCAGACATCCACTGACCAGGGAGGCCGATGTGAGGCTTGATCCCAGGACCCTGAGATCATGATCTGAGTGGAAGGCAGATGCTTAACCAACTGGGCCACCCAGGTGCCCCTGCCTTTTCATTTTCTTGATGATGTCCTTTGAAGCATGCAAGTTGGGATTTTTTTTTTTTTATATATTTTATTTATTTATTTGAGAGAGACAGAGATAGTGAGAGAGAGCACAGGCGGGAAGGAGCAGGAGGAGGAGACTCCCCGCTGAGCAGGAAGCCTGATGTGGGGCTCCATCCCAGGATCCTGGGATCATGACCTGAGCTGAAGGCAGACGCTTAACAGACTGAGCCACTCAGGTGCCTGCAAGTTGGGAATTTTGATGAAGTCAGTTTATCTATTTTTTTCTTTCGTTGCTCATATTTTGTGTCATATCTAAGAATTTTGATGTTTAAAATCTTTTCTATAATTTTATAGCAAGCTCATGTGATTTGTAATTTTTGAAATCTTTTTTGTTTTATACTTTTTTCTATTTCTGTTTTCAATGATACATACATATATATAAAATTTTATTTATCTCCATGTGTTAACACTTAAATTTCTAGCTTATATCCTAGTCTCTACATAACGATATATAAACACCTGGAGCCTTTAATATTATTCCTGATTCTAAAACAGTAGTTTTAACTTTAATCTTAATTCCCTCCATTCTGTCCAACTTTTTTTTTGCCTGTTTTTCTAGTTAAAGAGTGAAAATATCTTGTACTTATTATCTGTATCACCTACAAATTGAGGATTCGATTATGAAAATTACATTTTTTTTTTAAAGATTTTATTTATTTATTTGAGACAGAGAGAATGAGAGAGAGAGAGAGCACATGAGAGGGGGGGAGTCAGAGGCAGAAGCAGGCTCCCTGCTAAGCAGGGAGCCCGATGCAGGACTCAATCCAGGGACTCCAGGATCATGACCTGAGCTGAAGGCAGTCGCTTAACCAACTGAGCCACCCAGGCGCCCCGAAAATTACATTTTTAAACTATGATACTTCCATATAAAATATTAATATTTTATTCAAAATATGGTATTTCAATTTTATTTCATGAGACTGCTGATGACAGGAACGTATATGGTAGCATTTAGATCCTAATGAAAAATAAAATACCTTAGTAAATATACAATTGATGTGAGAAATAAAGGCAGAAGAAAAAATTAAATTTCCTTACTGCCCACAGCTCATTGACAAGTCCTTGAAACAGGTAGAGTGACCTTCCTCTAGGAACTCAGCTGCCTCAGTGTTGACACTTTGCAAAGTGCAAAAGGCAATCTCAGCTTAACATTATCCTGACCCCACAGGGTCCTGCAAGTCTACTTTAACATATAAAAATTCCTTTGGAAACTTCCTTTATCTCTACCCCTACCCCCACCCCAAGATACATGTTAGCGATCATCTTCCACGAATATGGCCCACTGATATACATCTGAAGGGTCTCATGACTAACATTTTATTAGACAGTAATAAATGACTTTTTCCTAACAATATTTAGCCCCCTCAAGGTCCCAGAAACCTTGCTTCCAAAATTCCTTAGAGGGGTGCCTGGGTGGCTCAGTCAGTTAAGCATCTGACTCTTGGTTTCAGTTCAGATCATGATATCAGGATCTTGAGATTGAGACCCATGTAAGGCTCCACACTCAGCGGGGATTCTGCTTCTCTCCTTCTCCCTCTGTCCCTGGCCACCACCCCCCCTTTCTCTAAAATAAATAAATCTTAAAAAAGAAAATTCTTTAGAGACTTATGCTATCTCTAACCCCCTCCCAACTTGAAAGTATATAATCAGTCACCCGTCACAACCCCAGTGCAGCTCTTTCTGCCCACAGATCCTATCCCCATTCTTTAATAAAACCTCCTTTTGGCACTGAAGACATCTCAAGAATTTTTTCTTGGCTGTAGGCTCCAAACCCCAACATTTCCACATCACAGTTACTGAGCTCTATTACTCACTCACTTTTTTAAATGAAGTATTAAAAATTACTAGAAGTAGTCAGAAAGCAGTGGCCCTTGTAAATATACATTATTTCAATTCTTTTGTCCTTTAGTCTCACCTGAAAAGTGCATATACCAGGGTAGCAATCAAAGCGAAACTGACCACAACTGCCACAAGTACTTGGTCACTTACTCCTTCTATGACTGAATCATCATCCAATTTCAAACTTTGAACTTCACCTTGATATTTGGCCATTCCAAGTCTAAAAGATAAATAAACAAAGGTTACAAATGACACAGTGAAAATAAGATATACTACTCAAAACCACATAAATATAACTGACTTCTAATGTATACTATTTTTTTAAAGCACCCACTTAAGGAAAGTTGCATTAAGTACAACTCTAGTGGGGACTCTCCCATTATTGAGTTCTTTAAAATCTGCCAGACACATTATTTTGAGGAGTACAAAATTTTATCTCCTTTAAGGTAAACAATTACTGTAATTTATCATCTATTTACATTTTTTAAAAACAAATTTTTAAAAAATACCCTTTCTTCTTCAAGCTCTGCTCCTTTAATCTTAAGGAAAAAAAAGACATTCCTGATGGCCAACTGCTCTTCTCATTCTTATATACCAAATCAATTCTCCCAATGAATCAGATCCCTCTTCACCCTCACAGCACTGAAAGTGTCCTGGAATGTACCATGTATGGATAGGGAAGGCAATATATTTTCTTCTTCTGTAAATATTCCTGTATTATCTAGTGTAGTGCTCTGTACACAGTAGGACCTAATAAATATATGTTTAAATATAAATGACTTACCTTACTTATAATGTTAGTAATTTGAAAAGTAAAACACATTTAGGCTATAGGACATTTAAATCTATACTAAGATTAGTTGAATTAATGAAAATTCTGGTGCTTGAAAACTATTAGCCTCACCTGGAACTAAGCTCAGCTTATGGTTCAGAATTCTTTGAACTGCCTGGAATATGGAATCACTCTGAGGCTGCATTTCCTTATGAAGAGAAAAGGGAGGATATGCAATTCTCCTTCCCATACACTAAGCTTGAGAAAAATGGCAATACCCAATTTCTATAGGTATGAAGGGAAATAACCCAACCACATCAGAATCCAAGTATCACAGGTAATTCATATTTTTTATATTGCAAAACAGAAAAATTTAGTCTCATAAGACACCTAAAGGAAAATAAAGGAAATAAACATATATGACTATTCATAATTAAAATAAAATTCTGTATCTATGTAACTTAATTGCACTGAAAAGTTTTATTCATTAACCTAGCGAGTCTCTGTTAAGAGGAAACTTTGTGAAAGTCTAACACCTTTGAAAGAATCTGAATTGGCTGCTAATAAGGAAATTACCTTATGGAAGAAACCTAAGCAAACAGATCAAAGCCAATTTCCATCTTTACACATAGTAATAGTCTAATATATCAGGAACTTTCTAATGATAGGTTTCAAATAACCATTATGAAGGCCACATACCAGGAAACTCAGAGAAGCAGCTCTAACTTCATTATTTTCATTCAAAAGAATAGTCAAATGAACTCCCAACGGAAACTGAACAAACAGCCTCAAATAATCTAGGGGTGGGCCGTGTAGTAAATTTAGGTGTTTCTTTTACCAGGTTTCCTCTGTTTATTTTTTTTTTAAGATTTTAAGTACTCTCTAAACCCAACGTGGGGCTCGAACCCACAACCCCAAGATCAAGAGTTTTAGGCTCCAATGACTAAGCCAGCCAGGAGCCCCAGGTTTCTCTTTTAAAATTGGAGATGCTTTGTACAGCTGTGTCCAAAGTCCTAAGGGCAGTGAGAACTACTTGCAGCTGCACAAAAGATAACCAAAATCTTATCCCCTTGTGTCAAGAATTCCAGACTCTACTGAATCTAATTACTTCACAGAGTTGTGACGATTTTTCCCAGTGGTATAAATTTAGGCAGTTTACTACTGAAGTGGAGCAGAATTTGTCACCCCAAAGTAATGACTTTTTGTTTTAAGAATTACTTTAGGTTATTTTTTTAAAACGGCAAAGGAAAAGTTCTGAAACCCAAGCAGACCTTACCCTTCTGTAAAAGAGACATTTACAAGGGAAATCTCCATTTGTAAAGGTATCGCTCTCTCAATACCAGGAGGACTAAATCCCTAGAGACTGTTATGAATGGAGAAGGCATGGACTTAAATCTGCATAACAACTTTACCCTTGTTTACTGTGCTTTTCCTGGTAACTTCCCATAACTGTGTCCCCCACCCCCAACATCTTTCTTTTGTCTTTAGCTGAAGGTGGTATTTAATGTGACTGCTTGGGCCATTTTGGAGTTACTCGGTTTTCCTGGGTACCTCCCATGTACACGGAAGTATACAAATGATTAAGCTTCTGTTTTTTTCTTGTTAATGTCTTTTATTACAGGGGAGTCTCAGCCAAGAACCTAATAGGGTAGGGTGATAGTTATTTTTTCTCCCCCAGACTCCTTTGTATTTTTTTTAATGGATTACATTTGTTTCTGTGTCCTTCCAAGTGTAATTAATGGTAATGTAAATTCCACTGTACAAATTATGTTTTTTCATTCTGCTGTATACTTAACTTCTTTGCAAATAAGATATTGCTTATGATATTGCTTCAAGCACAGTTCCAAGAGCTCAGAGATCCAGGATGCTCTAAGTATTGCAGAGCCATATAATGTTATTTGCATCATTTTATAGCAGAAGTTCCCAATGTTATTGAAATGAAGAGAGTTATTTTTTACTTCCACAAATTCTGGTATCCCCAAAGAAAGTGTCTGGGAAGAGAGAGGGGAGGAGGGGAAGAGGCTGCTGATAAATTTCTGAGAGGAACAGAGAGGTCAGGTGCATTTTCCTGTCACATGGAAACCCCAACTAAACCCAGAGCTCTCACAAGAGGAACTACTAATGACTGACCTTGTTGGGGGCTTCCAATAGCTCAACTTCCACTAGCAGTTTTTCTTGTAATCATAGTTTTAAAATGGAACTGTAGGAGTTAATAGCTCAAAAATTGGGTAAGATGCTGATCTAAGATTACAGAGGATAAACGATAAAAAGAAAATTTTCTACGTGAGACGACATAATACCTCAATCTTGAAAAGTCAGTCTTTTCAATCTCAACTTCAGTTCTCCAACTTGTGCATTACACAGTCAGGTCTTGTCTATGTGCTGATGGTTTTGCCCAATAGCACAGACTCTCAACTCAAGCCTGCTTGGACATTAACAGCCCAGATTTTAGTTCCAGTTCTACTACCACAACTGTGTCCTCGCTTAATCTCTAAGGACTTCCATTTTCTGCAAAATGTAAATACTGGGCTTGAGGATTTCTTAAGTTCCTTCCCCCATTACAATTATGAAAATAAGAGTTACCAGGACTTCATTTTTACTATTTGAGATTCACAGAAATAAAACACCACAGATCTTGCAAACTGTATGGTGTAACTGATAGAAGGCTGAAGTGAACTGGTTTCTAGCTTTGGTTTGCTACTAACTAGCTAAGCCTTATTGAGGAATAGCTTAGTATGTCAGAGAAGCATAAGCTTTGGAGGCAGACAACTGTATTTAGGTAGTTTGCATCTCAGCTTCTTCATATGTAAAATACATAAAATTAATTTTAACCACACCAAATGCCCACTTTTAAGTAACCTCCACACCCAATGTGGGCTCGAAATCACAACACCGAGATCAAGAGTCGTGTGCTCTACCTAATAAGCCAGCCAGGCACCCCTCAAATGCCCATTTGTTTGACCCCCCCCCCAAAAAAGCTCTTTGTTTTATGGAGACTATAACGAGATAATGAAGGTATTTAGCATATTGCTTGGCACATCATATAGGCTCTCAGTAAATGGAAACTATAATATTTTGATTACTTTAAAAAATAAAATCTATAAAAAATTAGTAATCTCTACACCCAACATGGGCCTCAAACTTACAACCCCAAGATCAAGAGTCACATGCCCAACAAACTAGCCAGCCAGGCACCCCTTGATTACTATTATTAACAACTGTCAAGAACCATTATAAAACTTAGCCGTGCCTTCCCCATTGCTGCACTATGTTGCATCTCAAATTCTCTTTAATCAAAGCTCTAAGTAGGTATTCCCTGGGAAGACAGCATAAACTTGGGAACATTGCCACGCAGGACACTACCGTGTTTATTTAAATCTGATAAACAGCTTTAAAAATAAATAAGTCTGATAAACAACTATAGATGAGACCTAGTCTCCAACTAACTAGAGTAAGGAGACGGCTAAGACAAGTTGCACTCACCTCTCCCCTTGGTCTTTTCCAAAACTTTCAGAAAAAAAATAAGAATAAGGGAAATATAGAAATTCCGTAACTTCCAAAGGAGAAACTCAGTCTTTTTACCCAAGTTCACGTAAAACATGATGATCACATGACTTCCGCAGACAATTACATCCAAGAAGCTTTTAATATAATTTCCTTCATTGAGGGTAATTGGAGCCACAAATGAAACCTCAAGAACACTGCAGTATCATACATAAATGCACTATGAGTGAGCAGTCAAGACTGAAAAGGGAGGCTTAGGTCATTTGTGTCAAAGCCTCGAAAACCTGAACAGCTGGAGTGAAGGTGTTCACTACACCACAGTCCCTCTAGAAAAGGCTAGCATCTTGTTCTCCACTTCCAAAGACAAGTTGCAGGTGAGTCAGGCTTAAGTCAGTGTAACATGTACTTACTGATTTTACGTGCCTAACAAGGGTAATGGTCATTAAAGTGCTAAGGGTTCTACAGAAACAACCTAGTATGGAATGTAGGAACTCTGGTTTGACAGATCCAGAAGCACCAACAGAGGAAACAAAGGCAGGTGAGACACATTTATCATTTCTAAAGATTTCTCTGCCCTTGGTGGAGGGAAGAATATAATTTTTTTTTCTTTTTTTTAAATTTTATTTATTTATTTGAGAGAGAGAATGAGATAGAGAGAGCATGAGAAGGGGGGAGGGTCAGAGGAAGAAGCAGACTCCCTGCTGAGCAGGGAGCCCGATGCGGGACTCGATCCCAGGACTCCAGGATCATGACCCGAGCTGAAGGCAGTCGCTCAACCAACTGAGCCACCCAGGCGCCCAAGAATATAATTTTTTAAAAGACCATTGAGAAGACTCTAGGTAAGATTTTTTTACATTTACAAAATGATACATTCATCACATGTGAACTGTTAATTGGTACTCTGTAAGGCATCGTTAAAAACTCACTCCAATTCTGAGTGCTCAATGACAAAAGCTACTCCTAATGGGAAAAGGGGGGTCTCCAGGGACTCGCAAACCAAAGTAAAGATGTGCTCTAGGAAGTTGTTTGCTGCACCCAAGTAAGTTTGGCATTACCTGGTAAAGTTATGTATACTTGGATTCAACAATTCTCCTAGGACTCCAAGGTATGTATCCTAAAGAAACCCCCTACACATTTGCACTAGTATCCAGATTTAAGAATGCTTACAGCACTGTTTTTAGTAGCCCCAAACTGGAACAAAATGTCCATTAACAGAATGGATACGCTGTTCTAATCATACAATGGAATACTAGACAGCAATAAAAATGACCTACAGATACACACAAATTTACTACAAATTCAAAGCCATAAAATACACTGACCCCATTCACAAAAGTTCAAAAACAAGCAAAGTAAAACTATATTGTTTAGGCATGCATATACAGACAGTAAAGCTATAAGAAAAGCAGGAAAGTATCGTAAGTCAGTCTAGAGAGGGAATTGTTCTCAGGAAGGAACACTAGGTGTGGGTAGAACTCCTGAGGTATGGGCAGTATTCTTTTGTTTTTATCTGGGTGTTTGTTATTATTTTTCTTTAACCATGTACGTTGTATGCACTTTTCTGCATATGTCATATCATATAAAAATATATTGGTATCCCTGCAGAAATCCACGCCTCTAAAAAGGTGGGTGCTCGCTGGCGGACCATCCACCAAGCCATTAAACACGAAAGCCAACCCCTAGCTCTGCACTAGGAGAAACAGGCCCTAGAACTGCCGAGGTCCTCACGGGCTAACAAATGACGCACACCCTCTCCCTACTTAAGTAGCCGAAGTTTTCAGGGAGTCGACGCTCACCCACGACCCAGGAAAGAACGGCCGGCTCTCCTCACCCGGCCAAGCACCTAGAACCGCGAGACGCCCGCCACGTCGGCCCTTCCACCGTCTCCGGAATTCCGGGCGGGAGCTGGGCGACTCTGGGGCTTAGCCCGGGGCTTCCTGAAGGAAGGCGGAGCCCCAGGGTCCGAAGCAGCGACTCCCCCCGCCGCGAAGCCCGAAGGCGACCCCGGGGCAGTCCCGCCCACGCCGCAGCCCTGCCGGCGGCTCCCGCGGGCCCGGATCCGGGTGGGCGTGGCCGGCCGCGGCCCGCCGGCTGGGAGGGGGAGGGGCGCGTACCTCTCCACCGCAGAGGCTACCTCGCCAATTCCCGGTGACTGAGAATAGAGATTATTTCCGGGCACGGCCCCCGCCACCCCTCCCGGGCAACCACTAGCTGTCTCTTTTTTATAATTTGGAGTGCGGACACTGGCGCACGCGCACTGCCGAGCTTCCGTGAGGGTTCGAACGGACAGGCGAAGAGGACCCGCCGCCGCCGCCGCCAGGGCCGGGCGCGTGCGCGCGGCGACACGCAGCGGGCCGGCGTCGGGGCGCGCGCGGCGGCGGCGGCGGAGAGGCGGGCCGGCCGGAGCGCGATTGTGCGCAGTGGCTCGTCGGCCGCCGCTCTGGCCAGGGCCGGCGCTCTCCGGAGGAGGGGTGTGTGGGGCTGGAGGCGGGGACGCGGGGCTGCGGGCGTGGCCGGGGGCGCGCGCGGCGGGCGCGCGGTCCCGCGTGAAAGGAGAAGGAGGGGCAGCGGGGGTGACGGTGCGAGAGCTGCTGGCAGCGCCCGGGCGGTAGTCGGCGGCCCGGGCCCGAGGAGAAGGTGGGCCGGAGGCCAGGTCAGCTGCCCGGACCCTCCGACGCAGCCCCAGACCGAGCGGCAGCGGTTTCTGTTGAGGTGGGGAGGCGCTGCCAAGCCCCAGCTAGGGAAGATGTTCAACGTGGAGTCGGTGGAGCGGGTGGAGCTGTGCGAGAGCCTTCTCACTTGGGTATGTGATGACTGGCGGGTCGGGGGAAGACCCCCTCCCCCAGGTCTCCTTTCCGGGATCCCCCACGCTTGTCGCGGGGGGCGAGCGCCGAGGGCGGCGGTGCCGTCACATCCGGGGCCTGGGGCGGGCGGAGCCGGGGGACGCCGGTGCGGGCCGCGTCTACCCCAGCGGCCGGGCTGGGCGGGGAGCGGCCGGGAGCGAGGGGACTCGGCCCCAGGTCGGGGGAAACTTGCCGGGCTTGAGGTGTTGGCTGCCCTCCGAGAGGAAACAGGCCCGGTGGAGCCTAATGATGGGGTGCAGGCGGCACGGTGATTAGGATTGTTGTTGTTTGCAGCTGATGAGGCGCTGGCGCTTCCCTCTCGCGCTGCCAGGGACACCAAAGCGTTGGCTGTCTCTGCGCTCGGCGCAGCCGGTAGAGGCACTCGGGACCCCTGGTTACGACGTTCCTCGCCTTTGTTGTAGCATTCGCGGAGGACTGAGGGTAGCCCCTTGACGGATGAGCCAAGCCCACTGGAAGAGAAAAGTACTTTGAAGGGAGGGTAGGAAAAATACGAAAAGGCACCCAGAGACGGTATTTAAAATGCGAGATGCACTTCAGAGATTAGAAAGTAAGCGGTGTGGACATACTTATTTAAAGGTATAAGTATAAAAACAAATCTGGAAGATATGTGGTTATCATTAATGGAACTCGACAATTTGGGGCGACGTTGTGGGCTTCTAATCTTAAAGTTATTAAAATTGTCATGGTTTAAAGTAAATACCTGTTTAGTTCTCATGCTAATAATTGTGCTTTTAGCAGCCTCTCGAGAGCCGGTCTTAAAACCCAGGCTGTGTGTTTCACAAACCTTGGTGTCAGTTTTTTGGGGGGCGGGGGCGTGTGTGTGTGTATAGAGGTCTGCAGAGCCACGGGATAAACCTAGTGCTTTTTCTGGGAGTTTTACTCACTGCTAAAAATGTTAAATGTCATTTCTAGAATAAGACACTAATATATTTATTGAGGTGACTACAGCATTTGGGTTAATGTTAAAGGTAAGATACAGATGTCAAAGAAATTCTGTTTAGTGGTGCCTTGATTTATAAGTTCAGGTCCCTAAAATACGGATGTCACTTTCCTTTGTGGGGGCACTTCCATGGAAAGGTTAGAGAAGCATTGCCTTAGGTAGGTTGTAACAAAGGTAGTGTAAATACTGAGTTTTGGGTTTTTTTTTTTTTAGATTTTATTTATTTATTTGAGAGAGCGAACACCAGCAGAGGGAGAGGGAGAAGCAGACTCCCCTGCTGAGCTGGGAGCCCCACACGGAGCTCCTTCCAAGGACCCTGAGATCATGACCTGAGCTGAAAGCAGATGCTTAACCGACTGAGCCACCCAGGCGCCCCTACTCTGAGATTTTCATAATGTGTTCTGTGTCAGGAATCAAATTATGTCTTCTGAAACAATATATACACTGGTAGGGCTTGATATATTCTGTAACTTTTATGTTAGGCTATTCTTGGGATTTCGGGGTGTTTCTGTTTTTTGCAATAATATATAGTTAACATACAGCTTACAAATATAGTGGATTCCAACTTCAGACGAGAAGATGGGTTTCACTACTCTCTTTTAGAAAAGAGAAAAACTGCTAAGCTGCATAACGTGGCCAAGGCAGGGGAGAGAGAAAGGAAAAGAATGAACACATTCTTTGATACTGTGGAAGGAATAGATTTGGCAGAGGTTGTAAAAACAGAAGATTGAGGATCTTAAGGTGTGCCTTTTGAGTCTGTACAAATAAGTTCCTCCCTCAATGCTAGGAAAAGGCAATAGGGCAAAGATGAGGAAGCTAACTGAATCTGAAGTAGGGCTGCATTGTTTAAAGTCTAGAAAGACAAGTCTTAAAAACAGGTGTATTTGAAGGGCATCTGCAAAAAGATGGCGATCATTGCAGTTATTTGAGTGAGAAATGCTAACAAAAATATAGAGGAAGAGTCTTAGAGGGAAGTTTGAAGGGATCCTAAGAGAATCACACAGTATGAGAGCATCTATTTAGAATCTGGTAAATGTCAAGAAGACAAAATCCGGGTTATCAGATATGGAGAGAGGTCAGGGAATATGGTGTTGTAGAAAAGGATTTTTGAAATGTCACAAGGAAAATTTCTGGAGAAAAGATTAGAGATTTTAAGTAACAACTGGAGGGCAGAGTCTACACAAAGATGTACAATTCTAAGATTTGGAAACATTTTAAAACCTTATGCATTGAAATGTTTCAAAATAGAGTTAAATGCTGGCTTTAAGTTGTCATTATAAAAAGCAGAATAAATGTTTATGCAGAAAATGAGGTAGCTAAGTATACGTTTAGTCTAGTAATTCCCCTCATATCTGGAGGCCAGCTTATGCTGAAAACAATTCCAAAACCAAGTGTAAGGGAAAAAAATGTATGCAATATACTCCAAAGAAAAGACTCCCATTGGCGTGCCTGGCTGGCTCAGTCAGTAGAACATGTGATTCTCAATCTCAGGGCAGTGAGTTCAAGCCCCACAGTTGGCATGGAACCTACTTAAAAAGAAAAGACAAGACTCCCATTTGGACTAATTTACTCTGCATAAACTCATAGCCACATGTGGATTCTGTGCACACAGGTTAGGTAACTGCAATACTCGGCAAGGTACAGACAGCTGCCAGTGACCTAGAAGATCTAAGAACTGAAAGCTCAGCCCCACGTGATTCATTCTCTGAGCTGACAGCCTTACAGAATTAAAGAACCTCATGCTCAATTATTGAAGATCATAACTATGATCTTGAATATCAAAAGTTTATTTTCACTACATAGCATTTAGTACTAGATAGGAAGTAGATAGTACACTTTAGAAATTCTTCCACTAGGAATAGTTAAAATAATAAAACCTCAGGCACTTAAAAGGGATGACTATTAGTCACCTATCCAGAATTCATTTCTGTGGACATTGAATTGCCTTAAATGCTGGATAAATTACTATTGTATCAGAGCACCTACTAGCTCAAGAATCAAATGTTCCAAATTTTTGTTGAAAGAGGAATACTTAAGAGAAGACAGAGTATCCTCCTACTGGTGGAAAACACCTTAAGCTTAAATTCCAAATCAGAGTTTATGCAGCAAGCAAGTTCAGCAGGATGTGCTTGAAAATTTCCACTCTACCTCCTCTCCCCACCCTCTGAGTCAAATTGTGTTCTTACCTGTTAAAGAAATCTGCCCTGCCTACTACACCTGTCAAGCCTAATTTCTTTTTTTTTTTTTTTTAAGATTTTTTATTTATTTATCTGAGAGAGAGAATGGGAGACAGAGAGCATGAGAGGGGGAGGATCAGAGGGGGAAGCAGACTCCCCGCTGAGCAGGGAGTCCGATGGGGGACTTGATCCTGGGACTCCAGGATCATCACCTGAGCCGAAGGCAGTTGCTTAACCAACTGAGCCACCCAGGCGCCCCAAGCCTAATTTCTTGAACTTTACATTAAAAGATTGTTCTTTCTTAGATTTTAGAGACTGAAAAACCAGAAAGAGTCTGGAATGCTACCAGTTAATGGCAAGAAGTTAAGTGGGAAAAGAATCCTCACATAGGCTAAGTACATTTCTTCTGGGAAACCCAGCAAGATTAACCTACCCTTGTAATTTTCATATTACCTAACAGCCAATAAAATGTATACTAGTGTATAGACTTGGGGAAGGTATCATTTTTGTGATTGTATCTCCCACCTTCCATTCTGTCTGCCTAACTCCATTCTACCAACAATTTTTGTTCTGTGATGGAGGAATAATCAGTGTACAGAAGTTAAAGCACATTTTTAAAAAGCGTTTTCTTTTTTAAAAATTGAGGGTGAATATAAAATGGTAGATAAGAGCATAGGTTCTGACATTTGAACCTGGGTTCAAATCCTGGTTTTGTTTCATACTAAGTATGGGTGACTTTGGGTAAGTGTGACTTTATCTCTGTTTCAATTGCATTCATTCAGGTGGTTCTTATGCTTTGGTATTGATTAGCATTGTTAGAGTGTTCATTAAAACACTGATTGCTAGGCCCCATGTCCAGAGTTTATAATTCAGTAGGTCTGGGCTGGGGCCTGAGATTCTGATTGCTAACAAGTTTCCAGGTGATGCAATTGTTAGTGGCCTGGGGACCACATACCTTGAGAACCACTGCTCTAGAGCAGGGATTTTTAATTTTAGCATTATTGACGTTTGGGGTTGGAGAATTCTTTGTGGCAGTGCCCTGTGCATTGTAGGACATTTAAAAGTAGCATCCCTGGCCTCTACCCACTAGATACCAATAGCACACACCTATTTGTTAAAACCAAAATGTCTCATAGGGAGAAAAATCACCCCTGGTTGAGAACTGCTGCTGTGGAGATACTAATTCCAGGTGATCTCATGCTTTACTTTTATCATGCTTTTGTGGGGGGAGGGTGAGATGGAGTTGGGTGATGTTAATAGAGCTTCTTGGAATTGAAAGAGAGGTTATGACCTTTTAGGTAGAATTTCACACCTTAATGCACTTAGGTGTATTTATCTTTAAATTTTACCCTACTGCTATCCGGACACATCCTGTTAGATTATTAACTCGGAGTTAATGAGAAGTGGTAGATGATAGATTTTTTTTTATTAAAATATAATTCACATACCATAAAATTCATTCTTTTATTTTTTTCTTTAGAATTCTTTTTTTTTTTTTAAGATTATGTTTATTGGACGGTGCACAGGGAGCGGGGAGCAGGGCTCGATCCCAGGACCCTAGGATCATGACCTGAACCAAAGGCAGATGCTTAACTGACTGAGCCGCCCAGGCACCCCAAAATTCATTCTTTTAAAGTGTACAATTCAGTGGTTTGTAGTATGATCACAAGGTTGTTCAACCATCACCACTAATTCCAAAAACATTTTTATCATCCCAAAAGGAAACTCTATAAAGCTAGATTTTCTTTGGGACCTGTTTTACCTTTATTTCAAGCACAGGTGGACATGTAGCCTTCATGATCAAGTATTTATTTACCTTAAGAGCCAATACAGAGAAAGTAATTGTTGGAAGCCACATTTTAAAAATCAGAATGAAGATAGCTTTTTATAAGTCCTAATAGAGAAACAGAATTTTAGTACTAAATTACATTATTGAAGAATTACTTGCTTTATTGATTTTTTTTCTTCTAATTGGCCAGAGACAGTTTCCTAATCTGCTTTGGATCAGAGGGTTACAAATGCCCAACCCGTGTCCCACCACATAATTATTTGATGAGCTTGTTAAAAGTCAATTCCCAGTCTTCTTCAACTTTCCAGAAGATTCTGATGTACACCAGGTTTGGGAACACTGCTTTCGACTTTTCAAAATATCTAATGTACATTCATTTTCTCATTTATTCTTTTAGCAAAACACCTCTCCATAAGGTATTTTTCTCAATTACTAGATTAAAAAACTCTTATTAGGAGAGGTAAAGTGGCACACCCAGGTTCACACAGAAAATTAGGAGCAAAGCTGTGATAGAATTAGTTCATTACATTCAAAACATACTCACTTAGGACTTATTCTGTTAGACATTGTGCTAAGATTAGTGGTAAAGAGATAAATGAGATGTGGCCCTCACTGCCGCCTCCTTTTCATTCTAAACCTACGAGAGCTTGATTTATCAACTGTAAAATGAAAGCAGGTGCTTATCTTTTTTTTTAAAGATTTTATTTATTTATTTGAGAGAGAGAATGAGAGAGAGAGAGAGCATGAGAGGGGGGAGGGTCAGAGGGAGAAGCAGACTCCCTGCCGAGCAGGGAGCCCGATGCGGGACTCGATGCCAGGACTCCAGGATCATGACCTGAGCCGATGGCAGTCGCTTAACCAACTGAGCCACCCAGGCGCCCGCTTATCTCTTTTTAAACTACATTGTTGTTACCACATTACTATTGAGGAGGGAGATAGTATAGAATAAAATTTAGTATCAGTTCCTGCAGATATTTATTTGTTCCATTTATTCATTTACTAATTATTGAACCTATACCATGTATGAGGTTAGTGTTAGGGGATGGCTTCTTTTCATTACTCTCCCAAATGGATACCTAGGTAAAAACCACTTGCTATGTGATCTTTAAGATAATTCCCTTAGTTTCGGGGTGCCTGGGTGGCTCAGTCGTTAAGCGTCTGCCTTCGGCTCAGGTCATGATCCCAGGGTCCTGGGATCGAGCCCTGCATTGGGCTCCCTGCTCGGCGGGAGGCCTGCTTCTCCCTCTCCCTCTCCCCCCGCTTGTGTTCCCTCTCTCGCCGTATCTCTCTCTGTCAAATAAATAAATAAAATCTTTAAAAAAAAAAAAAAGATAATTCCCTTAGTTTCCACACCATAACCATCACTACCCACAAGACTCTCCTATATAGAAAATATAAAGAAGTTACTGCATTTGTCAGTAGCTTTTTTTTTTTTAAGATTTGATAAATGATACAATATAGAGAAGTAGACACCTACTGTTACGAAGTGAGAAAATTACTATAACAGAATTACTAGAGTTAAGGACAATTTGTATTTATCAGAAACCTTAAAATGTGCATACACTTTGACCCAGTAATTTCACTTCTGAGTATGTAACCCAATAAATAAAAATGTGAGAAGACCTGAGTGTTATTCCCAATATTTCCATTGTCTCTACTTAGTTTGACCTCATCTGTGTTAATAATGTAAAATTATTAAAATAGGTCTCTATGCCTCTTCCCCTCCAATTCTTCTTACTGCAGCCAGGATGATCTTTATACGGTGCAAATCTGATGGCCTCAGTCTCCTACTTGGAGTCCTTTGCTCCGCCCCCCCCCCCCCCCCCCCGCCCAGTTGCTCTTAGAATAAAGTCCTAACATGGCTTATGAGGTTTTGCACAATGCTGCTCCATCTTTCGCCATTATATTCTCTTCCCTGTTCCATCTCTTCCTTTTCCCCACCCCCATCCCATGCTAAGCCGTTTTTCATTCCTAGACTACATCCTACTCTCACTTTTTTTTTTTTTAAGATTTTATTTATTTGACAGAGAGAGATACAGCGAGAGAGGGAACACAAGCAGGGGGAGTGGGAGAGGGAGAAGCAGGCTTCCCGCTGAGTGGGGAGCCCGATGCGGGGCTCGATCCCAGGACCCTAGGATCATGACCTGAGCCGAAGGCAGATGCTTAACGACTGAGCCACCCAGGCGCCCCCCTACTCTCACTTCTAATATTTGTGTTGCTATTTGCACACCCCATCATACTCTTTCATTTTGCTAACCTATAAACTGTGGGAGAGCATGGCCGCATCTGTCTTTTCTCAGTGATTTATTTCCTTCTAAGTCTTGGTTGCACTACTGGGTATAATCATTGTTGGCTCAGCTGTATTATCTTACTCATGGAAATAATTTCTATTTCTTGACCATGTTATGCTGACCAGTGCAAAGTTAGTTGTTGATTTTTTGGTTTTTTGCAAAGTTAGATCTAATTCAGAATACATTTAGACTCAAAATTGAATATCTAACCTCAACTGTAGTGAATGTGACTTCTGCATCTGTGTAAAGCTATTTTCGTTTTGAGTAAAAGAAGTCTCAACCTGGCCAGCCTTAAACACGTCTATCTCGCATAATAGGCTTCACTTTTTTTTTTTTTTTTTGGTTCAGTGTCTCAATTTTGGCCTCAAGAACCTAGTTCTTTGTATCCCTCTTCTCTGTCGTACACTGCATTGGCCTCATCCTAAAAGGTATTCCTTTTAGTCATCCTAAGATGACTGCTGGTGGCATTTGAGGCAACATATGTGTTCACAGCAAGAGGAGATGGCTTTTCTTTCCTAGAAACTCAAGTTTAAGCATCTCCCTGCAACTCTTTGGTTCAAATTGTCTTTACCTTTGAATCCTAAGTTAGTCACTGATAGAGGGGATGAAGGTACCATGACTTGCTTAGATTGGCCATCTGTAAGGAGAATGAATGGATGCTGGGATGTCACCAGGTATCTGCCACAATTTCTTTTCTACCTAAGGGAAAAAATGACAATGAGAACCTGCAGGAAATTGCCCATAAGGGAAAGATTTTCCAACTCTACTGCTTTTTAAAATTTATTCCAGCTCTCAAGATGAGATAATCATAAAAAGAAGCCTAAGAAATCTCCTATATAGTTAACCATGGAATCTCCCCCCTAACCCCCCCTTTTTTTACCCCAGATCCAGACATTTAATGTGGATGCACCATGCCAGACTGTAGAAGATTTAACGAATGGGGTTGTGATGGCCCAGGTTCTTCAAAAAATGTAAGAATAAATTGTTTTATCTTTTTGTATATTCTTATATATGAATATTTATTAGATTGAAAACATGGCCAAAAAAATGTTTACATGAAATGTGTGTTGCATGTAGAATAAGAGCTGTAAATGTCAGTTATTATTTTGATGGCATGTACTTGTTTAGGTACAGATTGACTGGCTGAAAGTTTAATTAGGGCCGTAATTGTTAAAACAGTCCATTGGTTTTAGCAGAATTATTTGTTCTTGTGTTTTTCAGCGTAAGCTTGGCAGAAATTTTCATGTTAGTGATGAGATTTCTCATTGTAGAGAATCCAGAGGCTTACTCCCTCTTTCTTTAGGATTATGCTCAAATGTTATCAGTGAGGCCTTCCCTGACCACTCATAAAATAAGTGACAACCATTCCCCTATGCTCTGCTGTATCCCCTTTAACCTTTTATGTTCTTCTTTGAGGTATGTTAACACCATCTTATATACCATATATTCATTTGTTTTGTGCTGCTCCGCCCGCCACCCATGTATATACACACATAGTGTAAGATCCACACAGACAAGGAATTTGTTTTGTTCACTGTTGTGTCCTAGCACAAGGTTGGTTTTTGGCAGAATCATATGACAATGCCCTTTGAAGGTCACAAATGGTTAAATATCATCAGTTTTTCATGATTCAGCCTGCATCATGGATACTCATGTCTACCAAATGATTAAAAGAATGACATACTTGTTTGGGATATACGAAACATACCTGATTCTTCTAAGTACTTGAAAAAATAGAGGTTGTAAAATTGATGTTGTATGGCTATCTCCAACTTGATCAGGAAATTTTCAAATAAAACATTACTTGTAAATTTAAGAAATCATTAGGCTTGATGTGACTTGGGGTATACTTTTGTCTTTTGAAGCACTGGGCACTTGTAGGCCTTATGATATTGGAAGATTTGCATATAACTAGCTGGGATTTCCTGCAGTTTTGTTAAGAATCCGTATCAACAGTAAATGAATTCTTGCTGTTCACTTTGCAGTGAGCTATATAGAGTTGCCCATCTGAAAAGCAGTTCAGATGCCTGCATTTCAGAGAATCTGTGTGTCTTTAGAACTAGGGACTGATGATTGAAAACTAGCTTGCTGTCGCTTTCTTCTGTAACTACATGACACATCTCTCCAGATACACAGGTGCACAGACTTTTTGATGGAGCTTGAAAAGGCTCATTTGAAACCTGATGAGGCTTGGTTCTAGCACTCTGAAAACAGTGATTCTGTGATTTTCATGGTCACCTCTGAGCGGTGCCCTAATAATTTTTAGCCTTGAATGGTCTCGAGAATTTCACTGAAGCTAAGTAAGCTTTCCAAGTATGTGTCAGTAAATGAGTTTTTTGCTTAAGTTAGTTAGGGTAGGATTTCTGTCATTTGCAGAAACCAGAAGAACTGTATGTGTATATTGTTTTACCAAATCAGGATCATAGCATACATCGTAAAAGCAATTAATTTACCAAAGTCTTGTAGGCATATTTCTCATCAGTACTTAGTTTTTTACCTTTTTTCCCCAAAATGTCTTCCTTTTGTTACGGTTAAACATATATGGAAAAGTATACTAAAAAAGTGATGAATATGTGTGTTTATATCATCTTTGTATTTGTGTATACACATCTGTGTAACCACCACCCAGATTGAAATATATAACTTATCTAGCCCCAGATGGTTCCCTTATGACCCTCTCTAATCAATACCCCTTGCCCAATGATAGCCGTGATTCTGACTTCTACACCAGTAATTAGTTTTTTCTGTTTTTGGACATCTTATGAAGGGAATCATGCAGTATGTATTCTTTTGTGTCTGACTCCTTTTCACTCAGCATAATGTCTGAGATTCATTCATATTGTTGCATATTATCTATTTTTAATAACTGTATAATATGTACAACTTCAAGGAAGTTCAGTTCCTCCTTGCCCCTTTGATATTTATTGAATGGCTATTTTGTGTCCAGCACTGGTGATACAGGGGTAAGCCACAGGGCAATCGCCTTCAGAGAGTTTAAAACCTTGGGGAAAACAGATTTTTAACTAACTATGAAAACAAAATTGCTATTATAACCAGTGCTACAGGGCAGAAATACACAATGTTATGAAAGTTTGTAAAGAGACATTTAACTTAAGGAAGTCACAAACAATTTACCTGAGAAAGTAAAGAAATGAAATCTTTTTTTAAGTTGTTTTTTGTTTTTTGTTTTTAAGATTTTATTTATTTATTTGACAGAGAGAGACACAGCGAGAAAGGGAACACAAGCAGGGGGAGTGGGAGAGGGAGAAGCAGGCTTCCCGTGGAGCAGGGAGCCCGATGCGGGGCTCGATCCCAGGATCCTGAGATCATGACCTGAGCGGGAGGCAGACGCTTAACCACTGAGCCACCCAGGTGCCCCAAGAAATTAAATCTGAAAGAAGATTGGTAACAGATTCCTTAGCATACAGAAGACTGTACACAGAGGAGGCCGTACCAGCTGATAGTATGGTGAATACCACCACAGAAAGAAAGAGGGAGCATGTTACAAAATGAGAATGGAAAGAAAGATGTTGCCAGACCATATAGGGCCTTGTGTCTTTATTCCAAGGGATAGGACAAGCAATTTGGTAGGTGTGGAGGCAGGGAAGAGTTAACAGGGTCAGATTTACATTTAAGTTTTTATTTAAATTCCAGTTAACGTACAGTGTAATATTAGTTTCAGGTGTACAATAAAGTGAGTCAGCACTTCATACAAGTGCCCTCCTTAATCCCCATCACGTATTTAACCCTTTTGGTAACCATCAGTTCTCTACAGTTAAGAGTCTGTTTCTTCCTTCGCCTCTCTCTCTTTTTTAATCCCTTTGCTCGTTTTGTTTCTTAAATTCCGCATATGACTGAAATCATATGGTATTTGTCTTTCTCTGACTGATTTATTCTGCTTAGCATAATACTCTAGCTCAAGGGACACCTGGGTGGCTTAGTCGTTAAGCGTCTGCCTTCGGCTCAGGTCATGGTCCCAGGGTCCTGGGATCAAGCCCCGCATTGGGCTCCCTGTTCAGTGGGAAGCCTGCTTCTCCCTCTCCCACTCCCCCTGCTTGTGTTCTCCTCTCACTGTATCTCTCTCTGTCAAATAAATAAAATCTTTAAAAAAAAAAAAATACTCTAGCTCCATCCATGTAGTTGTAAATGGCAAGATTTCATTCTTTTTTGATTGCTGAGTAACATTCCATTTCATTTTGTCTGAACTGAGAAGTGAAAAACTGTATCTTTCTGTGGTTTCAGTGGAAATTTTATCAAATAGAATGGGCCTAAGTATGTTTCTTGTTAGTATAATTTTTTCTGTATCCAGCCTTTTAGTCATTTTCCATTCATCTGCTTTCCAGCTTCTAAAATTTTGTTGCTCTTCTTTCTTTTTGTCCATGTAGGTTCATGTCCACTCCTTTTATTTTTAATTAATAGGACTTTGTTTTTTTAGAACAGTTTCAATTTCACAGCAAAATTGAAATGGCAAAAGAGTTGCAGTGTGGGATGACAAGAAAGTTCTGAGGGTGGATGATAGTGATGGTGGCACAACAGTGTGAGTGCACTTAATGCCACTGAACCGCACACTTCAATTTAAATGACAAATTTTATGTTGTGTATATTTCACTACTTGAAAAAAAGTTTTTAAAAATGGAGCGTGAAGTATGGCAAATTCTCACGTACTCCTTGTCCCACTACATAGAGCGTCCCCCACTATCAACATCCCACACCAGAGTGGTACATTTGTTGTAATTGATGAACCTATGCTGAAACATCATCACCCAAAGTCCCTAATTTACATTAAAGTTCATTGTGTGTTGTACATTCTCTGTATGGGTTTGACAAATACGTAATGACATAGATCTACCATTGTAGTATCACACAGAGTAGTTTCACTGCCCTAAAAATCCTCTTTGCTCCACCTGATCATCCTTCCCTCCACCCCAGACCCCCAACAACCCCTGATCTTTTTACTATCTCCATAGTTTTGCCTTTTCTAGAATGTCCTGTAATTGAAATCATAACCATATGTAGTCTTCTCAGATTGGCTTCTTTCACTTAGCAACATTGCATTTAAGATTTCTCCATGTGGCTTAATAGTTAATTTCTTTTTAGTGCTTCCCTCTTTTTTGCAGCTTTAGTGAAATGAAATTGACATATAGTAAATTGTACATTTTTAAAGTATAGTATTTGATAAATTTTTACCTATGTAGATGCCTGTGAAACTATCGCCACAGCCAAGATAATGAATGTATCCGTCACTTAAAGAAGTGTTTCAGTCCCTCCTTTCTGCCACCCCTTGCCCATCCCCAGGCAACCACTGATTTACTTTCCATCGTTATAGATTAATTTGCAATTTCTAGAAATTTATATAAATGAACTCACACAATACATTTTATTTGAGGGAGAAGGTATGGCTTCTTTCATGCAACATGCTATTTTGAGATTCATGTTGTTGCCTATAATAGTTCATACGTACTCCATTATATGGATAGGCTGTGATCTATTCATCTATTCATTCATCTGCCGATGAACATCTGGGTTATTTTAGTTTGGGACTATTACAAATAAAGCATCTCTGAACATTAGCATACAAATCTTTGTATGGACATATCCTTTCATTTCCCTCTAGTAAGATCCCACCCAGGAGTGGAATGGTTAGACCATATAGTTAGGTGTATGTTTACTATTTAGAAGACTGCCAGAGTGTTTCCAAAGTGGATGTGCTGTTTTTGCCCCAACAAGCAGTGTATGAACATTCTTATTTCACCACAGTCTAACTATCATTTGCTAAGGTCAGTATTTTTTGGTTTTTTGTTTGTTTTTTGGTTTTTTTTTTAAGGTTTTATATTTAAGTAATCTCTACATCTGGCATGGGGCTTGAACTCACAACCCTGAAATCAAGAGTCACATGCTCTACCGACTAAGCCAGCCAGGTGCCCCTGTTTTGTTTTGTTTTAATTGAAGTATAGTTGATACACAATATTAC